CTCTCTCTCTATCTGCGCGTGCCGAAGTCCTGTCCAAGAGCGCGCGGCCACCGTTTAGTCGTACGGCGCGTACGGACGGAGATCCCCGTACGTACGGGGCGTCTGTATGTAGTACGACCGTACTTATGCGGCGTGCGCTTACGCGCCATCTTGCCGCCGCGTCGTCGTCGCGTTGTTGTCGTACGGTCGTCGTCGTCCTCTCCCTCTTCCGTCGTCGTCGTCTCTGTCTCTCCCTCCCTCCCCCTCTCTCTCCAAGCTGCCCCGTCTCTCTCTCTCTCTCTCTCTCTCTCTCTCTCTCTCAGACTCTCTCTCTCTGTGTGTTGCCGTCAACAACCTCCACGAGCATTGTTGCGTGGGCGACAACACGAATGTGGGCGACAACACAAAACTGTGGGCGTTGACGCCCAAAACCTCACTTATATTCAGACGTCCTTGGCCTCTGCCTCAGTGCCTCCCCCAAGGCCCGCCGAGTCCACCTCAAGCTCTTTTTTTTTTTGGTGAAAAATGAGAAAAAAAAAAAAAGGACTGACCGCGTCCCCGCGGGCCTCAGCCTGGCACCGAGTGCCGCGGCCCGGGGCAGTTTCGGAGGGCCTGCCCTTCGAAACTGCGCTGGGCCGCGGCACTGGGTGCCAGGCTGAGGCCCGCGAGGACGCGGGCAGTCCTTTTTGTTTTTCTCATTTTTCATCGATTTTTTTTTTTTTCTTTTTTTTCAACAGCACATCACTGCCCCCACTGACCTGTCCCAACACCCCATGCCCTTCTACCCCCCTCAGCACCCACCCAGAGGCCCGTAGCATGCTCGTACGGGAAGCGTCCGTACGCCCGTACGGGCGTGTGTACGTCCGTCCGTACGGCCCGTACGGGGACCCCCCGTACGATGTACGGGCGACGACACAACGGTAGGGGTAGGCAGGAAGCCTTAAGTTTGATCGACGGAACTGTTGGAGTTGTTCGTTTTCCCTCTATTCTTGATACTCAAGATCCCTTTGACAGTTGCGGTCGGTGATCCAGAATGGCCTACGAAAGTTCATACCTTGGGAAATAGACAATTCATTCTTTCATGCGTGTAAGATGCGATCGGATCGGAGACGGATCATGCCGGCACGCGTATACGTGATGATGGCCTTTTTCGTGATCATTTGTATACGTGAGTGCACATGGTCGACTTTCGACAAAGTTTGAACCACTCATTAGGCATATGTCTAATCTACTTTTGGTCTTACTTTGAACAGAGGATACCCTTAGGCTCAATGCAAATCAGACAATTGTTCGATGCAACATGCATCCTCCTGCGAGCGGAAGGACAAGAAAAAGAATAATTTTTTCACGCATCATATGTCAAAGCATTCGGACCTTGCATAGGGAAGATCCAACCCATACATGTACACAACATGTTGTAAGACTATCCGTTATACATGCATCTAACAATGTTTTCGACGTTGGAACACCATTTTAAAGTACGCGGCTAATAGTTCAAGCGGTGCGAGACGGTCAGAGCGACGGAGAGAGTCCCAAAGACAGAATTCACATTTGCAACCATCTATTCTAACACATGTCAAAGCCAGTGGTTCCCAAAGTTAAGAGGAATAAGTACAAAGTTAAAATCAAAAATAATTTTCCCCCTAACCCACTTCATTCCCTCACAGCAAGCAATTTTTCTGGACACTGCAGATGTCAATCTGACATAGAAAATGAATCTAAAATATACACAAATGGAATGCCACTAGGAGTCTCGTCTCTAATTTCTTCTCTAAACATCAAATTTTGTCTGGCATTGTCGTTGTCGATCTGGATGGCTACCATATACAAATTCACGGCTTCGTCATTCAACCATCCTCCATCTTCGATGATAACCATGCTGTCTTTTTTTTCCACCTTTCAGTCACCCTTATAAACAAGGATGTCGTATTTTTCATTATCTTCACCGGTGCTCACAGTCCGTTCAGCATATTGCACCTCGTCCTCAGTGAGGTGTACCGTTGCTAGAGGAATCTTAAACGATGGGTCAGGCACTGCATACAAACACACACGTAAACAGCAACGGTATGTCAGACTCTAAGACTTCTGTAGACG